CTTCATGTTTTTTCCTGTATCTATCAAGGGCAGTTACCAAACAAAATCTGCTGATATCGTCAAATTTTTTATCCAAATGCCCAATTTATTGTTACTTTCCTCCCCGGGTTCGTTGTCATGCAAGTGGGTCCAAAATGTGTGGAGAGAGGTCAACATTTTGGGGTGGGAGTGGTGGGGTTCCTGGGGAGATTTTTGTGTGTGTGTGGGCATGTGTCAATGTGCATCAGAGAGAAGAAAGAGCAGAAAGCAAAAAAGTCACCTATTTGGTTGTATAAATTTTTTTTTTTATTTTTTGGGAATGTATTTGGCTGTAGAATTAGTCTTTATTTAAAGAAGAAATCTTGAGTGGCATACTCACCTACTGAGTTGGAAATTTGAAAATGTTTTTGAGGGTCTTACCATTATGAATTTTATCTTTCATGAATTCATTAGTCCGAGTGTCAATGACATGTGTTTGATTGAATCATGAAAATTAGTCGAATTGTTCAAAAACTTATCCAATAATATTAAAAAATAAAAAATGGATGTTAAAGTCTAACGAGGGACAAGAGTGTAATTTTAAAAATTAAGAAGATTTTCCTCGACAGTAAGGTGTTAATTTAACTGATTAAAACGAGCACAATACGAACTATATCAATACAATTTAAAAATAATAACACGCGGATGTTATGAATTCACAACCCTGCTCAGCATTACCAAACAAAACTACAAAACATGTCATTATTATTCACCCAAAAAAGAATAATCCGGTTCCACCCTCTGGAAGCCAGAGTGGAACGCCATATTTGAAAACATAAATGAAAGGGATTTCCAATGGTCAAAGAAACAGACTAGACAGAACGGTTATCAATCTTCCTTAACCAGAGATCATTTTTTTATGCGTCATAGCTCAAGTCATTTCTTTGGAGGTTAGTCACACTCCTGTCATTGCATACCACATCCACTCACAGAATCCGATATTCTTAAGAGGCAAGTAAAAGACTTATATAATAAAATATAACTAGTCATAACTCAGTACGATAAAACATAATATATTAAATTTTTTTGACATATGTGTATATTATAGTATATGAAAAATATTTAAAATAAAAATTATATTAATTACAAATTAATTAAATAATAAATAATTAAATATATGATAGAAATGAGTGATGTGATATTTTTAAGAGAAAAATATCTAAATAATTAAATATATAATATAAATGAGTGATGTGATATTTTTAAGAGAAAAAATGTATAGAGGATAAAAATTCAAGTTGATATGTGTTTTATTATATAACTATAATGAATACATGTAAAAAATATTTTAATTTATAAATTAATCCAAAAGCTTCTAGGTTGTAGTGAGAGTAAGAAATAAAATCCAAGAATAAGAGGAGTGATGGCAGTGATACGTGGGATGATGGGATGGATTTAGGAGGGAAAATATGTGCGGGATAAAAATTTAAATGCCTAGTTAATTTATTATATAAATATATAATAAATTAAATAAGAAGTTGAATTTTGTCTCCTATATATTTTTTTTTCAAAACCATCACATTATTTATTTCTATCACATGTTTAATCATTTAATATTTGATTAATTTAAATTTTAATATAATTTTTATTTCAGATGTTATTCATACATGATAATATACATATATTGCGAAATATTTATCGAATTATGTATTTTGAGAAAATTTTGTCAATATTTTTAAGAAATTAATGGATAAAAATAAATTTTAAATGATATAATTAAAAAAATGAAGGAAAGAAAAATTATTATTTACTATAATGAGATCAATTTTTTGGGGTTCAAATTTTATATTCTATTTTAACTTCGACACAAGATATTACTAATATATATATATATATATTAGACGTAATCGGTGCCTAAAAGGTACGGTAAGTGAGAAATAACATATTTGGAGGAGAGAAATTTAATGTAAATGATTTTGAAATAAATGTTGGTGATCTATTTAAAACTGTCGAATAATTTTATTGAAACATGACCTATTTTATATTATAGATAAAACATGTTAGTATTATACCAAGGGTAACACCTGGTTTATTTTTACTACATCACTCTCCACCATTCATTAGCATAAATTTGGCTTTAAATTGTCTAATACAAATACACAAAATAAAATAAAATGGAGAGAGAGAGAGGGAAAGAGCAAATCTCTCAAATACATAATTTTAATAATTTTAATCCTATATATAATGGTAGAATATATTTCATATTTTGTTCTCGTAACTTTGACACTAATTTTACTTTACATTTAGACTATTAATTGGAACATATTGCACCATTAACCATTTGAAATAGTTCAAAATTTATGGAACTTTAATTATGCACTCTAATTTTTTTTCATTTTAACCACTCACATTATATAATATATTTATATTTATTATATCATATTTGATACATAAAGTCTATTTAACATAAAAAAAAGCCAAAAATATATATCTATATAATAAAGTTGATTATAATTCAAATTTCAAAAGATAAATAAAAATAATTTTTGCTATTCAAAGTTGAGATCACTTTAAATTTTACTTTAAAGTTAATCTAATAACTAATATTAACACTCTAATTTAATAAGAAAAATAGGTCCATAAAGATGTGTTTGGAGTAATTTTTTAAAATAACTTATACAAATTATTTCTCATAAGTATTTTAAGAAAAATTAGTGTTTGAAACTGTCCTACCACTACCTCTACCACCACCACTACTAGCTCTATCACCGCTATCGTCGCCACCACTACCATCGTTGTCACCGCCGCCACCACCATCACTACCACCGTCGTCACCACCGCTACTATGGTCATTATCACCCACCACAATAATCACTTTCTCCTATCACCACCACTGCCGCCCACCACATCTTACCCCCCACTACAACCGATACTTAAAACCCATTTATTTCTCATCTAGGGTCTGTTTGCTTAGCAGGATAATGATAAAAAATGTAAGAAAGAGAAAATTTAAAAAAATTTCATGTGTTTGGTTAGCATGAAATAGAAAATGATGGAAAAAATAATTTTTTTTCATATTTAAATTTTCTCACAACTAACCAACTTTTTTTTTTTGGTAAAAAATACAAGAAAATGCAAGAAAGTAAAAATTCAATGTTACCCTTATTTTTCTTAAAATATTTTATTGGTTATTAATTTTAAAAAATCTTAATATTAATTTAACTAATCATATAATTTAGTTCTGAAAACTTGGTTCTGGTGCCATTAGTGTTTGAAACTGTCCTACCACTACCTCTACTACCACCACTACTAGCTCTGTCACCGCTATCGTCGCCACCACTACCATTGTTGTCACCGCCGCCACCACCATCACTACCACCGCCGTCGCCACCGCTACTATGGTCATTATCACCCACCGCAATAATCACTTTCTCCTACCACCACCACTGCCGCCACCACATCTTACCCCCCACTACAACCGATACTTAAAACTCATTTATTTCTCATCTAGGGTCTGTTTGCTGAGCAGGATAATGATAAAAAATGTAAGAAAGAGAAAATTTAAAAAAATTTCATGTGTTTGGTTAGCATGAAATAGAAAATGATGGAAAAAATAATTTTCTTTCATATTTAAATTTTCTCACAACTAACCAACTTTTTTTTTTTGGTAAAAAATACAAGAAAATGCAAGAAAGTAAAAATTCAATGTTACCCTTATTTTTCTTAAAATATTTTATTAGTTATTAATTTTAAAAAATCTTAATATTAATTTAATTAATCATATAATTTAGTTCTGAAAACTTGGTTCTGGTGCCTGTCCCAGAATTAGGTTAGGAGCCATTTTTTTTAAAATTTTTAAAATTATAATTATAATAAATATGTTTTACTTTAGATCGATTTAATATACTTAAGGGTAATTTAGACAATTAAAAAAAATTCCTTGTAACTTTCCTTTTTTTCAAATAATTGACTGAAATTTTTTTATGCTAACCAAATACATGAAAATATATTTTCTTTCATTTTCTTTTCTTATACTTCACTTTCTATCATTTTCACTTTCCCTCATTCTTTTCTTCCTAACAAAACAGACCCTTATATTTGTGATTTAATTTTATATATGAATATAAATATATTTATTGTTTATCATTTTTTATTTCTCTGTGCCTTTAGACACATGCAATAACTAGTATATATATATATATATATATATATATATATATATATATATATATATATATATATATATATATATATATATATATTGCACATATATAAAAAAGGACTAATTATCATAATTGTAAAAAAGTAGAACTAATTGTCATTTTTATAATTAAAAAATATCAAATATTCACTAATAATGTATTAAATTTATTTAATAAACTATGTTTCAAATATTATCACTGAGATATTAGCATACTAAAACTACTAAACTAAAATTTAAGAGTTAAACATAGTAAAAAAAATTAAATATTGATTGACATATAGTAAAGACTATAAAAATATAAATAATTTCTCGTAAAAAAAAAAAAAGTTAAAGGAATGTTAATTGTAAAAACTTTTACTTGTAAAAATTCATAAATAAAAAAATTAAAGTCATTTAGAGAAAACATTAATAAAAAATTTAAACAATTGAAATAAATAAACTATAGGGTGGACAAAAGTAAATGATATATATATAATTTTTAAAATATATAAATATGAATATACATATAATATTTTAAAAAAAAATTAAAGGTCAGCACGTGTCCACCCTCGCCCTATGTAGCTCCGCCCATGGCCATAGCTTAGCTCCAACAATATGCAATAATGCAAGTACCCCCAGTGGAAAACGACGGAAGGGATAAGATGACTTTCAAAAGAGTTGGCTAAAAATACAAAATATATTGGCAGTTGGCAATAAACTTCCTCGAGGGGGCCCCGGTTTACGTGTTCAGCTACAGATAATCATCAAGGTCACTGTCACTGTCACTGTCACTCTCTCACACTTCGTAAAATATTAAAATATATCTTCCCCAGTGTCCCTCTTTCCCTCTTTCCCTATATATATATATATATATATACATATATGAGTCTGAGGCATGAGAGACTATCATCATAGATGATAATGGAGATAATGTTCAGCTCACCTTCTGTTTACTGCGTTTCTGCGATTGTTCTTGTTCTGGTAATATGCTCATGGAGAGTGTTCGATTGGCTGTGGTTGCGACCCAAGAAATTAGAGAAGCGACTCAGAGAACAAGGGCTCAGTGGAAACTCTTACAGGCTGTTGTTTGGAGACCTCAAAGAGATGGCCACAATGTTCAAAGAAGCTAAATCCAAGCCCATCAATCTGTCGGATGATATGGTGCCGCGTGTCTCGCCCTTCATCCACAAGGCCATAACGAACAACGGTCTGTTTCAAAACACCTAATCTTTTTTTTTTTATGGAAATTATTATTATTTTTGATCAGACTGTTCCATCTTACTTCACAGTACTCCATATTTCAAACTTCATACAGACCTTACTGTGTTCGATTCACAGTAATTGAATTGATTTTAGACTTTGGATAATTATTTTGCAGTATTCAAAATCCTGGCATCATCCTTTTATGCTTTGATCTTATATGTAGTTGCTCTATATTGTGTGCTATTCTTCTATAATATATGTTGCTGTAATTTGCAGGTAAAATTTCTTTTATGTGGTTTGGGCCAACACCTATGGTATTGATCATGAACTCTGAACTTATAAGAGAGGTTTTGTCTAAGAATTATGACTTTCTGAAGCCAAGGGTTAATCCACTAGTCAGGTTACTCGCAAATGGACTTGTAAGCTACGAGCATGATAAATGGGCAAAACACAGAAAATTGATCAATCCTGCTTTCCATCTAGAGAAGTTGAAGGTAATTTCTGATATTAATTGTGTATATCAGTTCAGTATAAATGCAAAAAAAAAGATAGGATAAATTAGAAATGTTCTCCAAATTATTTCAACCATAATTCTGCAAGGAAATTTAGTTCTAATTGTTATGATTCTTTTTTTTTTTTTTTCCAATTTGTGTCATTTGTGTTCCATTCTAATAACGTAGAGATTTTCTTTTCTTTGCTTTTGTTTTCATATCATTTAGCATATGGTACCAGCCTTTCATATGAGTTGCACTGAGATGATAATCAAATGGGGGCATATTGTCTCCGTAGGGGGGTCATGTGAGTTGGACGTATGGCCTTATCTTCAAAGTTTGACAAGCGATGCAATTTCACGTACGGCATTTGGCAGTAGCTATGAAGAAGGAAGAAGAATATTTGAATTTCAGAAACAACAAGCTGAGCTTGTTATGCAGGCTGCACAGTCAATATACATTCCAGGATCAAGGTAAAAAAATGGTTAGAAGTCACTAGACAAGGGACCGGAGAAAAGAAAAAAATGATTAGACATCTAGCAAATGATTTCGAATGTTGAAGTAGCTCATGAAGAACTTTTCTATACCCTTTTCTTTCCTCCTTGTTGGTACTCGATTCTTAATTAAATTCGGTTATGTGTAGGTTTCTGCCTACTAAAAGGGCCAGAAGAATGAAGAAACTTGACAAAGTAATACAAGCTTCAATTCGGACTATCATTGATAAAAGAGTGACAGCAATCAAGGCAGGGGAAACTAGTAATGACGACTTATTGGGTATATTGTTGGAATCCAACTTCAAAGAAATTCAACAGCATAACAACGCAAATTTCGGAATGAGCATACAGGAGGTCATTGAAGAGTGCAAGCTATTTTACTTTGCTGGCCAGGAGACAACCTCTTCTTTACTTGTATGGACGATGGTGTTGTTGGGTAGGCATCTTAACTGGCAAGAGCGTGCTAGAGAAGAAGTCTTACAAGTCTTTGGCAATGACAAACCAAATTTGGATGGATTGAATCACCTTAAAATCGTAAGTATTTCATTAAACGAACAGAGTTTTGATCAAATTTAGTCAAGTTGATTCAAAGCTGCAATAGATAACGTGTCTTTCAATTTAATAGATTCTCATTTGAACGTATGCTCTGTTCAGAACTCCAATACGGTTGGCAGGGTCACAGGTATCAAACTAGAAAAAGCATTGTTGTTGACCAGACACGATTGTCAAGTTAATTGAATTGCCAAACCATGCCTTTATACTTATTTATTTATCACACTAGGGATTGAGTACACATTGGGTCCATTCTTTAAGGCATTGTCCAGCTTACAAGGTAGACCCGCATTGAGGTTTCAATCAGGTTTACCTTAACCCAACCCCAGCTCATCTCATTATCACACATAGGTGTCGACTTTGGTTTTAGTTTAATGAATACTAAACTAATCAGTGAAATCTAGATGAATACACAACATGAAAAGTGTCTTTTTGTGAAGTTTCATTTCTTTAGAAAGATCATTTTTCTTCCTTGAGGAAAGGAATCCAAAAGAAAATGGTACAAGTTTTTTTGCCATTATTTGTATTTTGGGCCGCAAATGATGCTATATTTACATGTGATCCACTTTTTATGCTTGACTGTCTTTATTTCCGATGATGTACAACTTGCCTGAAAATTGTTGCTCATTTACCTACAACTCTTCCAATGTATTTCACAGGTAAACATGATTTTGTACGAAGTTCTAAGGTTATATCCCCCGATAGTTGGCCTTGGTCGGACTATTTTTGAGGACACAAAAGTAGGAGATATATGCCTTCCAGCAGGTGTGCGATTCTCATTACCAGTACTCCTATTGCATCATGACCATGAATTATGGGGTAGCGATGTGGAGGAATTCAAACCAGAGAGATTTGCCGAAGGAGTGTCAAAGGCATCTAAAGGGCAAGTCTCCTTTTTCCCATTCGGCTGGGGTCCTCGGATTTGCATTGGACAAAACTTTGCAATGTTAGAAGCAAAAATGGCACTGACTATGATTCTACAAAGCTACTCCTTTGAGCTTTCACCATCCTATGCACATGCTCCTCATACTATCCTCACTCTTCAACCTCAACATGGTGCTCACATGATTTTACAAAAGCTCTAGGATTCATATATGACGAATACTACTGTTATGTACTTAGAGAATAGTTTTAATATGTCGCATTTCTTGAACTTAATATCTCATTAATTTGGTTCGGGAATGAGTGAGCTAGAGGAATTGTGTGAGGTAAGCGCTAGGGCAAATGGACTCCTTGCCTCTGCCGAGCAAATTGAATAAAAGCCCGAGCATAAACTAACTCGGAAGAACATAGTCTGCTCAGTGGAAAACATTCCCTAGCAGGAAAGTGTGTGTCGAGCAAAGCTCAATGAAGCGTGCTCAGAAAAATGTCTTGCGAGGCTAGAATTGGATTAAAGTTTGTTTAGATGATGCCTCAAGAAGAGAGCTCAAATGGCGATTGGTCGGTTTCTTTTATGATGCTCCTTACTTTCTTATGACAGTTCATTGAGCTGATGCTTCAAGGAGAGTTTTTAAATAAAATTTCGGTTGATGCATTTGATATTTTGATAATCTTGCCGAGAGTGCAAAAATGTGGTACTGCAACTTCAAAATTAATTTACCAAGTGCAAGTCATACCACGGGGAATTAGTGTAAACTTGGAACACAATAGTATTAAAAAAAAAAGAAAAATTACTTTGAAGTATTTGAGTGAATTGAATTCGAAGGAAATACTAAATTTTGGGTAAGACAATTATTGAGATATGCAAAAGCATCATAGATCCTCTTTAAATTCCATACAGTATTCATTCTTGATTTGGTTTTCGAACTCAATTAAAAATCAGTTGAAGAATAATCTTAATCGGAAGATTTAGTAGTGATTATATAAAAAATAATTTCAAAAGTCAAAGTTATAAATTACTTGAATAAAAATTAAAATAGTGGATTACAAGTATTCAGTATACCTTGAGTCGACAATGAATCAATATTTTTTTAAAATAAAATTATTTTTATCACCAAAAAAAAAATCAATTATTTTTCATGAAAATCTAATTAATCGATCCAAGCACACAAAAATCAGTTCTTTAACTCGCAGGTAATCTCAAACATTTGACTTATGTAGCACAACGAATCAAGAGATTTTACAAGCAAAAACCATACTAAAACATAACCATCAATAAAAAAAATATCATTCATTAAAAAACAAACGGATCAAAAATAAATATCACATTATATTGAAAGAATCACTCATAACTTTAGTTTAGGATATAGCAATCTATTGACATGAAAGCAATAAAATAATAACAAAAAGCACTAGATTAAGGATTCTCAAACTCTCAATTTCGTGTCTCTATCCTACATATACTACAAACAAGAGTTTGACAAGAAGATCAAAACCGCAACAAATTGGGAAATCCAAATCTGTCAATTCTCGTCTGCCCAACATTACCCAACTTCTAACTTGATTTTGATGTAGTAAGAGTGAGATTCACAAAAATTCTTGACATACAACGTTGTAGATCTTAAGGTCTTCTTTCTAGAGCCTCAAGAATCATCTTCATCCGAAATTGGAGTAAAAAAGTTATAACCAAATTACTGCAATTGTGTCAAAACCTTATATTCCAAAATCCTTTTCTAATCCAATTCTATGTGAGTTTTCTACTAATTTGGACCGTCACATAGCTTAAATTGCTAAGTTAGCTTCAAATATTTTTATTTTAATATTGACCCTTCAATCCTCTAGGTTCCCGAATGAAATGGTTGGGGCTTAAATCTCCTATAAAAGATAAAGTACGTTTTTTTCCTAATTGAATCAAATCAACCCTAATGAGATAAAAACATTAAAAGTTTTTTAAAATGCAACAACATGCTTAAAAGAAGTTCAATGACACTTATCTAAACCAATAGAGTAATGTGATTTCCAATAGTTATCACATCCCCCGACCAACATATTGCTAGTTCCTAGCAAAGAAAGCAACTCAAGAAATAGCAACATCAACTCACGATATAAAAATAACTAGCTAAAACTCAAAACACATAAGACTAATACCAGTTTCGTAGGTAATCTCAATTTTATTAAACATATGAAACAAACCTTTAAATCCTTAAGTTATCCCTAGTGTACGAGTTATAGTCTCACGAAGGTTTCTACTAAAGATACATATAAACTTAATTCAACTTATAACTAACTTGAATCATAAAACATAACTTAAACCAAACGTTAAGTTAGTAAAACATCCAATTGTAACCAAATTAAGTCAACACAAAGTCGCATCATAGAACTAAATAATATATAATAGTATTCATATATTGGATCCTCATTTGAAACTAATGTGTGATGTGAAATAACAAGAAATTCATCGAACAATACCACACCTTTACAACTATCGATGTCTAGGTTTGATACAAACCTTACCAAGATATAAACTCGCAAAAGAATTCACTCTGATTATAGTGGCTATTCATACTTCATTGTATCATATGTAAGCATAATTAATGAAGATCAAAATAATAAGTAACCCACATATATCTTAAATAAAATAACCACTATTTCAATGAAAGGACTTAACATAATATTATGAAAGGAAATCAATAACATAGATTGCCAAATAAATCTCTTCCTTATTTACACTATTCATGTATCAACCATCAAGCTCTTGAGATCAAATAGGTCTTTTCTAATAAGGCCTTGGGATAAGAGTTTTTGATACAAATGATATTTAGAAATTCAAAAAGTTATCCCAAAGAGAACATTTTTTTTCTCAATCATATTCTTCAATTGTTTTTCCTTTTTTCATCACTCAGAAGCACACTTCAATAGCACTATCTCACACTCTTCTTCTTCTTTTTCCTCATCTTTTTCTCTCTTTTTTTCATTAATAGCAATGCTCTTTTTCTTTTTTTCTTTTTCTTCCTTCATTTTTTTATTTTTCAAAAGCCAACATCACTCTTTTATATGTTGTTGAATCAATCCATAGGATAATAAAATAGTATCATGATTGTGACGAATAACAACATTTTTGGATCAGCCTTGCTGCAGCAAAAAACCAATTGACGAAGAGTGGAACTAAAATGCTGAAACCATGCACGAGGAGCTTGCCTTAGACCAACAATTACCCTATTTAGTTTACAAACATGTGTAGGACTTTCCCCGTTTAAGAAGTTCGCCTGGCCTTCTGCCTGTGCCTCTTTATAGAGAAGAAGGCTTAGATACTCTAGTCATTCTCTATTCTTGCTTTCTGTATCTCTTTGAAAGTATGCCCTTCTATTCTCCCTCTTTCTTTCAGTCTTTTGGGGATCTTCAAGTGTCTTTAGAGTCTCTCCTCTTGTCTTTCCTGCTGTGTTTTGTGATGGTTATGTGGACTCGCAACAACTTATGTATCACTCATAGTTGAGTCATCACAGACTTTACCTATATGAGGTTTCTTAGAGGGAAAGTTATACAAATAGGTAGTGTTAAGCATCAAAGTAATAGACACAAATATGTCATATTCTTGACTTGGTCATTATATATGGCTTAATAACCAAAATTATTCAAAGAGGCTCAAACACAATTTTTAAAGATGATACTAATAAGAAAAGAATAAGGTTAAAGCTCAAATTAAATCAACAATGGGCTAAAATCATATCTCAAGAGCTATTGACAACACATTTAAAAAATGAATAATTTAGAAATATAACGATAATTAACATCAGTATTATTGAATAAAACAAACAATAATAAGATTATTCAATGGAATTCGCTAAATGAAAGTATATTTCAAAGTAATGTAATAATCCCTCCAAGAAAGCTTAGCTCAAAACTCACAAAGGTCAATCAAATCATCTCCACTATGTGTATCAGGTACTAACTCCACTTTTATTGCGTAAGTGACACCATGGGTACTCCTAGCAAACCAAGTGACTCCCTTGTATCTAGTTTTAGTTCTATGCAATGATGCTCTACAAAGAAATCGGCCAATACTTGGCCTTTAACCACCCGCTGCGGTAAGTATTGAAGTAAGAATTCCATCAGGGTCAAGACCCATTTTTTGATTTGACCCCTCATAATTGGCCTAGTTAACATGTACTTAATCAGATTAGTTTGCACAATAATATACACCACAACTAAAATCATATATATTCTTAACTTTCATGATGTAAAGTACAATGTTAAACAAAACTTCTCAATCGGCTTATAACACCTCTCGAAAAGAGTCAAAATCATACTTAAATAATAAATGGCTTATTCTTTGCCTATATTATTATTCTGAGCTAGCAAGTATCCAATGGATTCATGAGCGGATGATAAGTATAACAGCAGCAGCTTACGCTTTATCGGTGGCATGAGGACTGGCGGGTGGCTCAAGTACTCCTTGATTTGGTGGAAGGCTTCATGATGCTACATTTCCCATCTAAAGTCTTCTATGCCTTTCAAATTTAGGAGAGGTGAGAACGCATGTACCTTCTCTGTGTAGTTAGCGATGAATCGCTGGAGGAAGTTGACTTGATCGATTAGTGTTGTAGCCCTTTCTTGGTCTCTGGAGGCACAACCTCTATGATGGGCCCCTCCTTATTCTTGTCTACCTCAATTCCCTTCTTGTGCACTAGAAATCCTAAAAAATTCCATACTATGACTCCGAATGCACAATTCAAAGGATTCAACTTTAGTTGATGAAAACGCATCCTTTCAAACACAACCCTCAGATCGCTAAGGTGTTTTTCTTTTTCTTTTTTTTTTTCCATGTCCTGCATTTTGGTTATTATATCATCAATATACTCCTCTACAATCTTGCTAATCATGTCATGGAAGATGGTATTCATGGCTCTCTGATATGTTGCCCCTACATTCTTCGGTCTAAATGGTATAACCCTTCATTCAAATGTCTCTATTGATCCAAGATATCGAAAGACAGTTTTGTGTCGATCCTCTTCAATACTGAAGATCTAGTGGTACCCTGCATTGCAATCACAAGCTGATCGGCCAGTGGCATGACATATTCGGCTTTCATAGTTGCTATGTTGAGGTCACGGTAGTTGCAACATACCCTAATCTTGCCAGTCTTTTTCTTGACTAGCACCATGTTAGACACCCATTCCACCTATC